CTTGTGTTAATGCCTTAAGTTTACATTTTATTTTATAAAAGTGGAGAATATTCACTTGGAGTCAGGGGGCTCTTGACACTCTTATGTCAGTGTTAAATAATAGAGAATATCACTGTTACAATGTATTTTCTTGAATAATTAAAATCACCCACTTTCTTGTCAGCAGTTCTACTAACTCTCATTTCATCTTCAGTCAACTTTGAAGCTCTGTGAATGATCAAATGGTCAATGTGCTATTAATTGACCTATTCTTATTTTAGGAACTGTTGACATTCGGGGATGTGGTCATTGATTTCTCTGAAGAGGAATGGGAATGCCTGGAGCCTGCTCAGCAGAATTTATACAGAGATGTGATGCTGGAGACCTACAGAAACCTGGTCTTCCTGGGTGAGCAGAGCTTCCCTTCAGAATTCCTAATTATATAGTTTTCTTCCCTTGCAGAATATCTTTTGGGAGATTTTTTTTTTCATTAACGAGTTTAAGATTTTTGCCTTCAAGAAAAAGGATTGGGCAGTTTGTGCCATTTCTTTTAGTCCTTTATCTCTTCATTTCTTGCGGTGATATATACTCTTCACTTTAGATTAGTGCTACTTACAGTAATTCAGTGATATACAATGATTTAACCTATGTGTCAAAGTATAATTTTTTCCCTTTGTGGTATCATCAGTACTACTATTAAGCATCAGTAATCACAGGAAAAATTCAATGAACACATCTTATTATCACTAAGCTCTATTTGGGCACCTTCCTCTGGAGCAAAGGAGAGAGCCCTGAGCCATATTCCCAAGTGGATAGAAATTCAAGAATCAGAGGACACAAGTAAGAGATCCAAAAGCCAAGGAGGAAGCCAAACTTCCAAATGATGGTGGAGAAGTTATTATGCCACAGAAATTGTTTTCCAGAAGCTTAGGTTTATCTCTCTTGTTGTTCTAGATGCTCTGTGTTTAGCATGATTTCAACTTCTTTAGTCTCCTCTTTCTCCTGGGTTGATGTCCCAAAATGTTCAAATCAATTGCTCAAACAGTCCCTTTTTGTGAGGTCAGCATCATCTGTTGGCATTTTCATTATTTGGTGGAAGTCTCTCAGAAATCCATGCACATTTCTGGAGACCTCTACATGGGGCAATTGTAATATATTAGTGTCATAAAGCATATTCTCTAATATTACGTATATATTTATTCATTGAAATTGCCTTATTAGAGCTCCTTTGAATATTATAATGGATTTTCTGCAGATTTTTTTTGCGGGGGGGCAATATAATGAATGTCAGTGATTTACAGTGGCTGCTTACTTTGGGTAAATAGTCATAGTTGAAAATTGTAGTTATATAGGAGTTTGTAAAATAATACATCCATGGTTATTCAGAATTTTGTTAGTTAAATTTCTTTTTTCTTTTTTTTCCTTCTCTCTGTTTTGTTTTATAAGATAATTTCATGTTAAAGTGCAGGTTTCCTCACATCAATCAGTAATGCTTTCATTTTTTTTACCTACATTTATGATTTTATGGCAGTTTCCAGTATTTTGCAAATTATGGCAGTGTGAGATGAATTAAAGTATGCCTGTTCCTTGTTTCTGTTGCCAATAAAATTACATTCTTTCTTATTTTTTATTTTTGTTTATATTGCCAATAAAATTACTTTGGGGATAAAATGTATTCCTAAGTTTTTATTTTAAAGTATGTTTTGTACATGATAATTATTGCTACATCAGGTTTTGGTCATTGTTGTGTAATATTTTTATGTGCTTTTTTCTTTACATTGTATCCGTAGATTTAAAGTCTCCTGTAGACTGCATATAGTTTTTGTTTTGTTTTGTTTTGTTTTGTTTTGGGTTTTTTTTTTTTTTTTTGTAAGTTTCCCTTGCTTCTTTTATTTCTTTTACCTTGTTTTCTTATTGCTTTAACTTGTGGTCCACTGATTTTTATGGTGAAATTCTTTGGTCTCTCTTTCACTTCACTTCATTCTACGTATATTTGTTTTGTCATTTATGTTGGGATTTTATAAAAATATTTTAAAATTATACTATATTTTAAACTGGCAATAAATTAACTTCAGTTTTATAACAAAATGTAGTATATTTATATGTTCTTTTAAAATTATTTTATTGATGGCACAGTTATTCTTTTAGTTTTTATTTATTTTTTGTTATAGTTGTTGATGGGCCTTTATTTTATTCACTAACTTATATGTGGTGCTGAGAACCCAGTCTAGTGCCTCACACATGCAAGGCAAGCACTCTACCACTGAGCCACAACCCCAGCCCTGGCATAGTTTTTATATATATATATATATATCATACACATTAAAGTTTATGATGATTTTTTTTGTCTTAGAAATCCTATTGTAAAGGTGTTTTATGATATATCATTCCAGTAAAAATGAATTGTATATTGCTATATGACTTTTTCTTGCCAATAAATCTTTAAAATTTCATATGACTTTATGTTTTTGTGCACATTTATTTTATTTTTTAACATGAAATATTCATATTGTATTAACACCAGAAGTAATTAACCACTGAGCAACATTCCAAGCGCTTTTTTTATTTTTCATTTTGAAACAGCATCTCACTAATTAACTTATGGCCCTACTAAGTTGCTAAAGGTAACTTTGAATTTAGGATATTCATGCTTCAGCCTCCCAAATTGTGGGGATTCCAGGCTTGTACCCCCACACTAGCTAATGTATTATATTCTTGATGAATGGTAATAGAATAATTGCCATGTTTTCTGAGCACTAAAGTGATAATTATATGAAATAATAAATTTGATAATTAGCTAGATTTAGCCATTTCTTTCCTTTTTTTAAAAAATTTACATTTTAGTTCTAGGTGGACACAATATTTTTTTTTTAATTTTTATGTGGTGCTGAGGATCGAACCCAGTGCATCATGCATGCTAGGTGAGTGAGCTACCACTGAGCCCCAGCCCCTAGATTTAGTCATTTCATCATATATTTATATTTTAAAATACCAATACTTAGTAAATAATGAAATTTAATTTGTCAATGAAATTAATCAGTAAATAACCAAAATCACAAAACTTAAAAAGCAAGGCTGCTACAGCTGCTGCTAGAGGTCCATTTTTAGGGTGCCTGCAGGTTTCCTCACACCCAGCCTCTTCTCTCTTGGGACACTGGTTGTTTTAGTCAGCTATTTTGCTGCTGTGACTAAAGGACCTGACCAGAACAACTTCAAGGAGGAAAGGTTTGTTTGGGGGCTCATGGTTTTAGACATCTTAGTCCATAGAAGTCCAGCTCAGTTCTTTGGGTCTTGAGGTGAGGCTGAATATTATGGCAGGAAAGGAGAGCAGAGGGAAATGGTTCACATGATGATCAGAAAGCAGATACAATACATGCTCCAAAGCATGCCCTGATTCCTACCTCCTCCAGCCACATTGTATCACTTCAGCTACCACCGGAAGTCTGATATCAGAGTGCCATCTAGTTTGCTGTTGCCATCTTGGGTCCCAACCACCTACATCTGGGGACACAGGCCTGGAGGACCCAAATCAAAGTACCTTGAGGTTTTGTTGTAGCTGAGATCTTTCTGTAAGTGCTGGACAATCTTACTGCTGCATCACATGGTCACATCTTTGTGTGTAAATTAAAACAACATTGAGATCTTGGGTCTGCAACACAGCAGAGCCTAAAGAATCTGAAACCCAGATCTGTGAGTTTACAACTAGATCTGCTTGGTCCAATCTGAGTTAGCAATCCTGTGGAAAGGTCAGAAACTAGGAGTATTTTACTAAGGGGAATCACAGGTTAGAGAGGCCAGAGAGAGCCAGGCTGTCCCCAGCTCCATGAGTCCTAAAGTGTGTGGGGATAGACAAGGTTGGCTATAATGGGTCAGAAGTTTGATAAAGGGTATTAGGGTATCTTGCTATCAGCTTGCTGAGCCAGCCAGTTTAGCACCCACCAGACCTGAGCTACCATCAATCTCCAGACTACCACACATATCAGCTGAGAAAGGAATCTAAAAAACTTGAACTCCAAGAGAAACAATTTTTCAATTTTTCATTGAGAAAATTTTTTAAATTATTATTTCTCCCCTTTTTACTTCTCTACCATTTTTAAAACCAAGAATTTTTATGAATCAGTTTATTGAGGACTGGGATGTCTGAATAGTATATTACAGTTTTCTTGTGTATTTTTATATTTCTCTCTCTATCTCTATCTCTCTCTTTCTCTCTACTCTGTATATATTTTTCCTCTCACTTATCTGTCTCCCTGGAATCTTTCTTTCTTTTCTACTTTTAACATCTAGCCTCTATTAATACCTCTTTCACTCTTTCTATGAATTTTTACTTCTAACTTCTCTAATCCTTCCTCATAAACATCACATCCTACCACTTCTCTGTTTATCCACCAGTTGAAATTGTAAAACCTTTTTGCAAACTTACAATAATTGAACCATTATTTCTGCTTATTGTGACAAAACTCTAGATGTCTTAATAGGAGCTATTTTGTTAAGAGGCTGCATATTGTTTGCATTGGGTGCTGTTAATATTGCTCTCTCCCTTAAAGGCAAGATACTGGAAACTGTACTGCCTCAGATCCATAGTGCTAAATGGGAAGACATAAAAACAACATGAAAAAAAAACAAGGGAACTAATTGCTCCAAACAAACCACGATGCTCCAGTAATAGAATCCATTGACCACACAGTAAAAGAAATATCAGAGAAGGAGTTTCGAATGTACATAGTTGGACTGATCCACAATGTAAAGGTGATGCAAAGAGTGAAATCAAAGATAAATTTCAGGTGATGAAAGAGCACATCAATAAAGAAACAGATTTTGAAAAGAAATCAAGCAGAAATCCTCAAAATGAATTTTAAAACCCAATCAAAAATTAATGGAAAGTACCCACCAACAGATGAGGAGAAACTATATCACCTTGAAAATTAACCATGCAGAGAAGATTATGAGAAACCATGAATATAACTTCTAAGAATTATGGGATAACATTAAAAGACTAAATTTAAGATTTATCAGGATAGATGAAGGTACAGAGATACAAACTAAAGGAATGCACAATATTGTCAATGATGTAATATTAGAAAATTTCCTAAACCTAAAGAATGAAATGGAAAATCAAATACAAGAGGCTTACAGGACCCCAAATGTACAAAATTACAACAGACCCACACCAAGTCACATTATAACAAGAATGACTAACATAAAATATAAAGATCAAATTTTAAAGGGCATGAGAGAAAAATATCAAATTATATATAGGGGCACAACAGTTTGGATCTCAGACCCACTAAAACTAAGTTTCAGATTTGAAGATGAAATAAAAACCTTCCATGATAAACAAAAGTTAAAGAATCTATAACTTTTTAAAAGTGTGCACTACAGAATATTCTCAAGAAAATATTACATGAGGATAAAATGAAAAAAAAGTGAAAATGAGCAAAGGACAGAAATACACTAAAAGAATCATCAATCAAAGAAGGAAGTAAGTCATATGAAAAAATAGAAATAAACCAAGATGTCAAGGAATACACATCACATCTCAATAATAACCTTTAATGTTAATGTCAATCAAAAGACATAGACTGGCAAATTGGTTTAAAAATCAAGACCCAACAGTATGCTATCTCACCTCCTAGCAATTAATTCCACAGAATGAACGTGAAAGGATGGAAAAAAACATCACTCATATGGATCATGTAAACAAATAGAGGTTTACAACCTCATATTAGTGAGGATATCATACAGTGACATAGCCACATTCATGTTTATAGCAGCTCACAATAGCTAAACTATGGAAGCCTGCTAGGTCTCCTTCAACAGATGAATAAAATGTGGTACATATACACAATGGAATATTACTCAGCCTTAAAGAAAAACAAAGTTATGGCATTTACTGGTAAATGGATGGAGCTGGAGAATATCATGTTGAGCAAAAGTAAGCCAGTCCCCAGAAAACAAATGCCAAATATTTCTCTGATATGTGAGTGCTAATTCACAATAGGGAAGAAAAGAGATACTTCAGATTAGGCAGAGGAGAGTGAGAAGAGTTATAATGTATGGTGTAAGAAGGATAGTAGAATGCATCAGACATTATTACCCTATGTGCATATATTACTACATGTCGAGTGTGATTCTACATCGGGTACAACCCGAAGAATGAGAAGTTACACTCATACTTATGTATGATGTGTCAAAATTATTCTTTCATCATATATAACTAATCAGAACAAATAAAAGGGTATCATAATAGAAAAATAGTTTGTATTTCAGTATAATAAAAATAAATTTTAGAATTGAAAAAAGTTAAAAAGCAAGTCATTTGTCTTGATCATCATGTGTTGACTTCATCCAAGTCATACTAATATAGGCTATGTGCGTGTTTGTTTGTGTATTGTTCCTATTAAAAAGATATATCCATATTTCTCCTTGGAGATCATAGGCTCTCTACTGCTATTAAATATCTGTATTGTTGTCATCCAAAAATCAATATCTTAAATCCATTTCTCTGTCAAGTGGTTTTCAGACCTTCCCCAAGAAAGTCAGAAATGTTTAAGTTTCACATTTCCTTTTGCTATCGATAGAGAAGAAGGAAGTTGGTGGATTTTTCATAATTGTACTAAGGTGTACGCTTGAAGAAGAAGACCTGTAGTGGATAAAAGTAACACACTTTCCTTTCCTCTATTATATCACTCTCCTTAATGATATGCTCATCTTGGATACTGTGAACTCTCATGTGGTTTATAATTCATACAAAGTAATTTTTTCTGTCCACTGTTATATATTTATGGGGTAATAATGGCATTTGGTGTACTATTTAGCCACCCTGATGATATACTGACTGCTATAATTTTATATTATATATGCAAAGCATATTTCTAGTCTAATATGTAAAATAACTGTTATTTTCATTTATTTCAGGCATGACCTCTCATCATACCCAGAAAATTTCATCAGAACCTGGCATAGAATATTTATTTAAAAAAGTTATAAAGAGAAGATATGGAAATTGTGACCTTGACTATTTACAACAAAAGAAAGTATGTGACAGTGTAGGTGAGAGTGAAGGTCAGAAATCATATTATAAAGGACAAGACAAATTAGTAGTTACTGTCCATAAAGAAAATTTTAATGTCATCAGACCTCAAGAACATTTAATAGCTCAGAAAAGTATTCAATTTATAATTGAAGGACAAGTTTCTAAAAGGGATCGTTTTGAAACTGTCCTTACAAACTGTCCATTATTCTGCAATAAACAAAGAATTTTTTCTTGTGACAAAACATACACCTTTAATGATTCTGGGAAGGCACCTATGCACTCATTACTGCCTACTAAAAATTTAGATATCTGGAAAGTAAACAACACATGTAATAAAGCAAGCAACACCTTTAAAGAGGTCCCTATCTTAAGCAATTACCAGTGTACTTATATTGGAGAAAAAAATTATGAATGTGACAAGACACATAAGAATTTTAGCTCTGGTTGCAATATGAGAGAACATCAGTGTGCTCATTGTGCACAGAACCTTTACAAAGATGATAAATGTGGGAACGTCTTTCCTCAGTGCTCAAAGCTTATGACCCATCCAAGTACTCGGGGCCAAGAGGCACCTTGCAAAAGTGAGGAATGTGAGAGAGCTTCTAACCCAGCTGCTAGCCTTCCTCAATACAGTGGAGCTCATCCTGGAAGGGAGCCCCATAAATTTAAGGAGTGTGTCCAAGCATGGAGTTGCTCACCCCTTTCTAAACACCACAAGTTCCATAGCAGTGATCAACACTACAAATTTATAGAATGTTGCAAAACTTTTAATAGAGAACCATGCCCTGTTAATCTCCACACAATTCATACTGGAGGGAAACCCTACAAATGTAGAGAATGTGGCAAACCCTTTAAGAATTGCTCAACCCTTTCTAAACACCTGAGAAGGCATAGCAGTGAGGAAATCTACAAATGTAAAGACTGTGACAAAATTTTTAAAAATTTTTCAACTCTTACTGAACACCAAAGGATTCATACTGGAGAGAAGCCCTACAAATGTAAAGAATGTGGGAAATGTTTTAATCGTAGCTCAAACCTTATTCTACACCAGAGAATTCACACTGGAGAGAAGCCCTACAAGTGTGAAGAATGTGGCAAGTGTTTTACTTTCAGATCAAACCTTATTAAACATCAAAGAGTTCATACTAGAAAGCATCCCTACAAATGTGAAGAATGTGGGAAAGGTTTTGCTCTCAGAGCACATCTTACTCAACACCAGAGAATTCATACGGGAGAGAAACCCTACAAATGTAAAGAATGTGGCAAAGGTTTTAATCAAACACAAAAGCTTTCTGAACACCGGAGAATTCATACAGGAGAGAAGCCCTACAAATGTAAAGAATGTGGGAAAGCTTTTACTCAAAGAGCACACCTTACTCGACACCAGAGAATTCATACAGGAGACAAACCATACAAATGTGAAGAATGTGGAAAAGGATTTACCCAAACGCGAAAACTTACACAACACCAGAGAATTCATACAGGTGAGAAGCCCTACAAATGCGAAGAATGTGGGAAAGCTTTTACTCAAAGAGCACACCTTACTCGACACCAGAGAATTCATACTGGAGAGAAACCCTATAAATGTGAAGAATGTGGGAAAGCTTTTACTCAAAGAGCACACCTTACCCAACACCAGAAAATTCATACTGGAGGGAAGCTCTACAAATGTAAAGAATGCAGCAGTGCTTTTAAGGATGTTTCATCCTTTATCAAACACCAGAGAATTCATGCAGGAGACAAGGAAAGTCCCAGTCATAGCACCCCAGAACACCTATTAGATTTCCTGCACATGCTACAAGTACCCAGAGCACTAAATTGGAATGTATTTCCCTAGCAGCTAAGCACACACTTACCTCCTTCCAGTGGCAAAGCTCTGAGTCAGAGTGTGGGGAGTTTTTTCTTCCTGCCTTCCTCCCCTCCTCCCCTCCTCCCCTTCCTCCCCTTCCTTCCCTCTATTGAAGTACGAAAAAATGCTGACTTCAAGAGGCTGTTAAATATTTCCTGTTTGTACTTTTTATGTTACCAGACCCAATCTTGCAATCTCTGGATTAAACAGTAAAAGCTGGGATTATTCACATAGGATTCTGTTTTACTTTACATCAGTTTCTTTGCTAGCTGAGAAACTTTCTGCACATATAACTTCCTTATGTCCAAGAAAAGCTGAGCAACAGTGGGATATAATGTGGGCCCTAGCTGAGAGTTGGAAGCCTACCTCAACATAGGAAAAACAAAATGACCATATAAGCTACACCACCAATAAAAGAATAGCCTTAGCTTATTTTCATAGTTCTTGATGCTGATTACTTGACAATCATTTGGTTGGCCTTAAGCCCTATAGAACAGTTTTCTTTGGTGCAAGGTCCTGTCATTCCCTGAGAGACCTCCAATAGAATACAGAAGCATCCCAAACCTGACATTGAAGCTGGATAATTGGAATGTGGATAATGGTTCTCTGTGCCAATAAGAATACATGAAGAGAGCTGGGGGTGCTGTTCAGGGATAGAGTGTCTGTGGGTTTAAGGCCTAACATTATAAAACAAAGAAGGAAAACCTCCCTCCAGATGCAAAAGAAGAAGGAGAAAACTGGACATTACATTCTAGGACTTGACATATTCTTCAAGACATAAAATATTGTAATGCCTAAGCTGGGACTGAACTAAACACCATGAAAAGTAAACTTGACACTTTGTGTCTTGAAGGATCACGTGTAGAAATTAAACAGATTTCCTACAAGTTCCAACTCCATCTTCAGCAAAGGGCTCAGAGGAGCTTTCTGTCCCCACTGAGTTTTCAGCCCCCACAATGTGGTCTGTGGTAGAACCCAGAAGGAGCTCAGAAGGGAAGACCAACAGACCATGGGCAGCCTGGGCTTTGTGCCTATAGAACTGGGGGTGAACAATGATTGCAGAATAGTCACAGTTGGTGAAAAAACCTAATGGCACCTGGAGAATGGCTAGATTATGGAGAACTGACTGAAGTGGTGCCTTCTCTGCATGCAGAAGTTCCCATGGTGCATGAATTGTATGGGCATAGCCAGACACCTCCTCCATCAAATTAGGGCATATTTGGAATAGAGAAGTGCTCTATGCCCTAGCCATTTATCCCATGATCTCAAAAAAGTTCTATAGCCAGTGCAGTATGCCCCTGAGAATGCACCAGACACTGGTGATGAATGTAGCCTGACAGAACCATCATTCTTCCAGGAAGAAGCAGTTCTGGTGGGCAACAAGAGTGCTTAGTACACTGACTGGTTCAGCAGAGACCCTTGGGCTATTGGACTGCCACTGCTGTACAGCTCAACGTGAACACCTTGTGTGAGTCTGGTGTGCAGCAGAGAAGCCAATGGGCTGCCCATGTTGTTGTATATGCCAGAAATACTGGGAGTTCTGGACACCTCCAAGAGTCAAAGAAACACTCATGAACTAATTAGCTCAGTTGGCAGGGCAAGAATTTTATTTCCTTGTGCAGATGTTGAAAAAAATTGCTGTTAATGTTCATCTTTGGCAGAAAAAATATGACTTAAAATGTTAATCAGGTTTGTTTGATATCTTGGTATTCATGAGTAACATAAACTGAGCAATTAAAAATAGAACTCGCTGGACATTTCTCTGGGACTCCCAATAAAACTGGAGCACAGGAGGAATGCACTATCTTTGCCTCTGAGAGGACCCATTCCCTCCTCTTTCCTCACTTTTATACTTTTTTTTTTTTTTTTTTTTTTTTTTTACTGGATGTTGAACCAGGAGTGCCAGTCTTTTGTAAATATTTTCTTTTCTTTTAAGATACTGTCTGGCTGACTTGAATAGGGACTTGAATTCACAATCCTCCTGCCATAGTTGTGTGCCACTGTGACCAGCTTTCCTTTTTTTTTTAAATAAACTTTGCTGTTGTTTTAGTAAGTGCAGCATCTTGTCTGGAGTCCTATCAAGCAAGAACACCAGAGTCAGGGATGGGGACCTCCAAAAGTGCCTCACTCTGTCTTGTTTGCAGCACAGTCAACACTGATTCTTGCCTTTCTCTTGAAAGAGGAGGAAACTAGCTGAGGGATGCCACGTGGTCAATTAATGACAGGTCCAGCCAGACTGTTTCAGAACTCCTGTCACATGCCTGGCCTTCTCTGGCAAGAGAAGGATCAAATGTTTGCAGGGACAACACCTCCCCTCCCATCTACCAGCATTGCAAAAGTAATAATTACTTCAATTGTCCCAGCTGCAGAAATCCCTTAGGCTTAACTTTCTTATTCCTGCAGTTGCCCCATTTACCCTTTGCTAACATCTTCCCTCCCCACTGTTCTTATCAACTACCCACCCAATGGGACATCTAGAGTCAGAAGAGGAGTTAATTCTTCCCCATAAAGGATTCATTAAGAATGCCTGTTTGGGGGCTGCGGTTATGGCTCTGAGGTAGAGCACTTGCCTAACGTGTGAGGCACTGGGTTCGGTGCTCAGCACCACACAAATATAAAATAAAGATATTGTGCCCACCTATAACTAAAAAATAAATATTTTTTAAAAAGAATGCCATGTTTTCTCACCCAAAAGAATAATAAGTAGGATACATAACCCTGAGGGTATAGCCCAGAAGGAAATTTTCTAAGGTTGGAGCAACTGCTTCTAAAATTGCTCAGCACAGCTTTTGAAGGCAGGAAGAAAGTGAAAATTTGAAGGGCATCCCTTCACCTCTTCCACCCCTCTGCAAGGCTCTGAAGCCCCCATCCCTATATACACTGTGAAGGGTCCAGCAAGGGTAGCAACCCCAATATGTGTAGATTTAATGCACTTGAGGAGTAGCAGTGACTAGCCTGATCCAATAGCAATGCCACCTAACTCAGGATGGCCTGAGTCCTGGAGCATGCTCCTATGCTGGAGAGGGGGATCATCCAGTTACTCTGCATAGGCACATGGACTGTAGGACCTGACCTTGCATTCTGTATGTTTGGGGTTGCTGCTGGATGTGTGTTCAAGGAAGTGTTCTTGAGGGAGGATACAGAAGGGTAACAGCTCACAGGGGCCCTGACAGTGGGCAGCTCAAGGACAGCTCATCATTGTAGTCCACAGGCTACCTGTGGGAAATGGAAGCCTAATTCTCACCTCACCACAGCTCTTTGCCTTCCCAATCTGACACCAAGCCTCCATGCTTCAGTACCAGCTCCTATCCACCTCAAGTTTCCTGGACAACTACCTGCAATATGGTGCCAGGGAAGTTTGGAAGGGAATCAGGAGCCAAGGGGTCACTTGCTGAGGGCCATTACCAAGTAGGTATTGACGCATTGTAATCCTTGCCAGTGTACCCCATGTTAAATGGACTTGCCTTGGAAATTTGCTGCGACCTTGCTTGTGTGTTTGAGAAAGATGACCCTGCTCAAGGTGATCGAGGGTGGATCCAGGTTTGAGGAAGTATCCTGCAGGTTTGAGGAAGTATCCTGGTCCTTGGGTTTAGGGTGTTCCCGGTTTAAGGCGTTTCCGGTTTAAGAATATGGGTTTTAGGGAAGTTGAGGTTTAAGATTATTGCTGCTGGGATTAGGGTGTTCCTGCTGCTTGTTCCCGTTGAGTTCTCGTGAGATTCAAATGGGATTTGGAAAAAGCCTCCTGGAGTAGGTGAAGTGTGCAAGGAGATTTAGACTGCCCCTGAACGTGTGTGGAGGCTGGTGTGAGATCGGGAATAAAGAATTGCTGTTTGAACCTACAAAGCTGTGTGGTGGCTCGTGATCTTGTGCCAAGCCAAGACATTGGCATTTGGCAGTCACTGGCCTGTACAGTCCTGTGGTCCACCTCCCTCTTACCCTGACTCTGCACACGATCCTTTTTCATAGGAAGTGTGCATTTCCCACCCCTGAACCCCAGGGAGTACTACCCAGACATCTACAGCTGTGTGCTTGCACCAGCCTCCACTTCCTGATCCTTTTAGTCTCCTGCCCTCTGCAGAAATTTCTTCACCTTCTGAAGCCTTCCCGACATATCTGCTCCTGGCAACCCAGCTGAAATGACCGTGTTTCTGATGGAGTATTTCCTGCAGACCCCTCTTTTAACCCCTCTGAACTCTGGCTCTGCCATCACTCTGCAGTTTGTTAAGCAGCTTGGCTGCCCTGGGCTCCATGGGTTAGGTTGTTTAAGATGTTAGATTTCATCATTTCTCCAGTGAGGCTGTCACATTTCTCACCTCGCTGAACAAGTCCTCATTGTATCATGCACAAATGGTGATATAGACAAAGGTTCTCATTTAAATTTCTTAGAGACTATATTAGATTGGTTTCTAAAATAATGAGTTTGGCATGTAGCCTGAGATTTTTGCATTTTTAAAACGTGTGCAGGTGAGGTGTTTTTGCCACTGAGTGGAAAGTCCTTAAGGTGAACTCCTGGTGCTAATTCATTAGCACAAGCAGGCTTGCCTTGAGGGCTTCATTAAGAAACACTGTGTGGGCCCCCCACCACATTGATTCTCAGGCTTAAATTCAGAGGTTCCAGAGCTTTTCTAACAATCTTTCTGGAGACATCATGCTGGTCCACTGGTTTGTGGGCCACTGCTAAAACTGCATGAGTGCTCAGCAGAATAAATATGTAACAAATAAACATCAAAATTAGCATTTTTCTAAGATCTACATTTTTTTTCCAATTTCATTTCCAATGCATTTCAATTCATTGTACAAAAATGAAGCACCACTTTTATTTCTCTAGTTGTACATGATGTAGAGTTGTACCATTCCTGCAATCATACACATACCTAGGATAATGTTGTTGGTCTCATTTCACCAGCTTTCCTATCCCCATTCCCACTTCCTTCCCCACCCTCCCTTTTGCCCAACACAAAGTTCCTCCATTCTTCCCATGCCAGCCC